AAAAAAAAAAGACAAAGTCTTGTCAAACTAGATGTTTAAAACCATTTATAGTGGAACTTGACAAACTGATTCTAATATTTATATGGCAGTGCAAAGGGTCAAAGTAGCTTAGACATCTGGAGGAGTAAGAAGGTGTCGGTGGGAAGATTTGCCACACCGTACACCCAGACTACTTACAAGACCATAGTAATTAAAGTAAAATGGTATTGACACACAGATAACAGAAAAATGGAAAAGAATAAAAAGTCCACTCAAATATGACCCACTCAAACCTGACACATGACAAAGCTGGCTTTGGAAATTACTAAGGAAAAGACTGACTATTACATAAATTTCACTGGGATCATTGATTTTTACATATAGGGAAAATAAAAATAGACTCCTACTTCACAGCATTCAAGGGCAGATAGATTGAGTACTTAAATATGGAAGCATTTTTTTTTAAGTTGATTTATTTACTTTGAGAGAAGGCAGGGGAGGAGCAGACAGAGAGGGAGAGAGAATCCCAAGTAGGCTCCCCACTGTCAGCCTAGAGTCCAATGTGGGGCTCAATCTCATGAACTGTGAGATCATGACCTGAGCCTAGACCAAGATTTGGAGGCTTAACCAACTGAGGCACCCAGGTGTCCCTAAATATGAAGGCATTTTTTATCTGTATGACTTGAGGTAGAATTTCTTAAATAAGATAGAAAAAGGCACAAGCTATAAAGAAAAAGAAAAATACATTTGGCCATATTGAAAGTGCGAACTCAGGAGCACAAGGGTGGCTCAGTGGGTTGGGAGTCTGCCTCTTGGTTTCGGCTCAGGTCATGATCTCACGGTTCTCAAAACTGAGTCCCTCCACCGGCTCTGAGCTGACAACAAGCAGCCTGCTTGGGATTCTCTCTCTCCCTCTCTCTCTGCCCCTCTCCTGCTTGCTCTCTCTCTCTCTCTCTCAAAACTGAGTAAATAAACTTAAAAAAAAAAAAGGTGAGAACTTGGGTTTATCAAAAGACACCACAAGGGAAATGAAAAGCCACAAATAAGGTGTTTACAACATATATAATAGCCAAAGGAATACCAACTAGAATATATTTTTAAAAACACCTGCAAATCAGTAACAAAACGTGCAGAATACTGAAATAGAAACTCACGGTGGGACTTGTCCCGCCAGCCAGGGGCCGTTTCCCCTAGTTACAGCCAGTTGAGCTGGTGATGAGATGGAGGGTAGGAATGTCTTTTATTCTTTGAGTTCACAGAAGACACAAGAGGCTTCAGACGGGGCCTGAAGGATTGGCCCAAACCTCGCGTCTACCACCAGAGCCCTCTTCCAAGCAGACACGTCCAAGGCCCGGCTACCTCCCAGCCCGTTCAATGGACTGCTGTCACAGTGCCCACGGGGGCCGTGCCGGCCACCGCCGCCAGCAGAGCGAGCCCTTCCCCCAAAGACTGGTGCCTGGTTGGGGGGCCCCCGGCCCGCAGCACCGCCGCACCCCTCCCCCACCCGTGCGTACTGGGAGCGAAGACAGAGACCTGGAGGTTCGTAGGTTTTCCAAAGGAAAAGAGAGCGGCGTTCCAAACCAGGCAAACCCTCACCAAGCAGGTAGCTTGCTGGGTTTGGAACAGGCTGAGAAGAAAAGTAGTGGGACAGCCCTTTGGAGAAAGCCATTCTCCCAGGGCCCCTGCATCTCTTGAGCTCGGCAGGGTTGCTCACCCTCTCTGGTCTCGTTCTTGGCAGGATTCCTTGTTAGAAGTTTTATTTATGTTTTGTGCACCTCAGCTGAGCACGTGAATGAAAGAGTGGCAATTGGAAAAGCTGTGCTTTCTTCATAGCCTGTGGGTCTCCTTACAACGAAACTAGGGCGTTGTGACCCGACCGGCCTACCAACCTACTACCGTGAGATTCATTTGGGAGAAACCAGCTGTAACTGTTTAAAAATCACTGTTTCACTCTGTTAATTCAACAAGGATAGGAATGGCTGTGCCAATACAAGTTTTCTCCTTTAAAACGAACAAAAAAGAGGGGCATCTGGGTGGCTCAGTCGGTTGAATGTCCGACTTCAGCTCAGGTCATGATCTGGAAGTTCCTGAGTTCGAGCCCGAGGCTGCCTCAGATTCTGTGTCTCACTCTCTCTCCGCCCCTCCCCCACTCGCACTCTGTCTCTCCCTCTCTCAAAAATAAAGATTAAAATTAAAAAAAAAAAAAAATTCAGAGAAGTGTAAACTTGAAAGGCCAAGTAAGCATATGAAAAAGATGTTCAACCTGCTTAGAAGTTGCATGAATAGGAGCTATAACTACAATGATGCCCTGATCTTTGTTTCTAAATACGATTATCCTCTAAAAAGCTCCTTAGAGAAGTGGCTGCTTTTTGGACTGGGCTAGAGAAAATACAAGATGATTGTAGAAAGTCTTTCTAGGGGTGCCTGGGTGGCTCAGTTGGTTGAGCCTCCAACTTCGGCTCAGTCATGATCTCGCGGTCCGTGAGTTCGAGCCCTGCATCGGGCTCTGTGCTGACAGCTCAGAGCCTGGAGCCTGTTTCGGATTCTGTGTCTCCCTCTTTCTTGCCCCTCCCCCGCTCATGCGCTCACACTCTCTCTCTCTCTCTCTCTCTCTCTCTCTCTCTGTCAAAAATAAATAAACATAAAAAAAAAAAAAGAAAGTCTTCCTATACCATCAAGTAAGGAAGTGCAGGAAAAAAAAAGAGAGAACATTTCAAAGAGACCTAGGAGCCAGTGTCTTCATCTGTAAAAGGATATTAACAGTGACCTCCTTCCTAGGGTGCTTGGAGAGGGTGAAATGAGTGTTAACACAACACCTAGCTTGGTAAGCACTCAGCCCTCACTTCATTCCGCACACATCAATTTTGTGATAGATAGAACTCTTACAAGAAAATGAGGTCGAATATCTAGGTATGTATCTTATCAGAAATTAATTTTTTCAGACAGGAACTGTTTAATTATTTTTTTGCTTAAACAGGAACTGGTGGCCCGGTATGTGTCATTGATTCCTTTCTTGCCTGACACTGTTTCATTTGCTGGCATCTGTGACCTGTGGAGCACATCTGACGTAAGTAGTTCTCCCTCACAGATTTACCAGTTTGAGCTGACTTCACTGAATATTGGCCAAAGGCTCGTATAATTTTAAATTGCAACATTCATTAGTCCTTATAAAAATCCATTTGGTCATCTGTTTGACAGGATGAGCTAAATTCTGAAGTATTTTGTCTTTCTGGTTCGATTTGCCCAAGTTCAGAAATTACGAAAAACTTTTGTTTGTACAAATAATAACAAAAAGTACTTCAGGTATCTTAATACTGATTTGGCCTCCCAGTATTACCTCAGCAATATCCCAGCTTTATTCATTAAAAGAAAAAAAATCAAAATGACACTCTATATTAAATTTGGAAATTACATACTCCACAACTGATGGGCTTTTTATGGCAAACCGTGTCATTACTGATTCAGTGTGTATTTCCTGGTCACACACCACATATCACACACTGTACTAAACTGTGGCTATGAGCAAAATAAACATGGCCTCTGCCCTCCTGGAATTTGCAACCCACGTATGTTACGATACATCCAAATGGCTCCTAGGTAGTAGGACACGAACACAGACCTTATCACAGGTATTCTGCTTCTGGGTCTCATGTGGTGCTGTGTTTGCATAAAATTAAACTATGTTACACAGCTCCCGTTAAGGATAGCTCTAAACCAAAGAAATTTAAGCACATCTTATTATTTTTGTTGAAATTCAGGTACACTTTAAATTTTTGCTCCCCAGTCTATTTTGGCAACATAATGTTGACAGTATTAGAGGTAACATTTCCGTAACCTCAAGACATCTAAAGAAAATATGCAAAGGACAGAATAATTCGTGTGCCGTAGAGCCAGACTGGCTTTACCGCTTCCTAAGTATTACCTCACCTGTGTTTCCATTTCCTCATCTATAAAACTGGAAGATGAGTACTTCCCTCAAGGGTTTATTCTAGGATGAAATGAGTTAATGCATGCAATATGCTTAAAATAACTTGGGGGCAGGGAAAGGGGAGATATGAGTAAGCAGAGCACAAATGATTTTTAGGGCAGTGAAAATTCTGTGATACTCTAATGATGGGTACATGTCATTACACATTTGTCAAAACCCATAGAATGTACCACACCAAGAGTGAACCCTACTGTAAGCTGTGGACTTTGGGTAATTAATTATGACATGTCACTGTAGGTTTCTTCATTATTAACACTCAGACCACTCTGTAGGTAGATGTTGACAGTGTGTGGAAACAGAGGTAGATGGAACATTTCTTCTTCCCGACTTTGCCGTGAACCTAAAACTGCTCTAAAAATAGTATTTAAAAACATATTCAACACACAGGGAGCTATTATCTATAAATTCAAAATGAAGAGTAAAAGTTTGAAATTTGTCTCCCCTACTCATAGTGGTGATTCTAGGAATCCATGGAATCGATGTCAGAGAAAATACCATGTCCGATAGAAGTGTTCTGTTTTTTTTTTAAATTTTTTTTAATGTGTATGTATTTTTGAGTGAGACAGAGCATGAGCAGGGGAGGGGCAGAGAGAGAGGGAGACATAGAATCAGAAGCAAACTCCAGGCTCCGAGCTGTCAGCACAGAGCCCGACACGGGGCTCGAACTCACGGACCGCGAGACTATGACCTGAGCTGAAGTTGGACGCTCAACCGACTGAGCCACCCAGTCGCCACTGTGTTTTTCTTTTTTAATGATTTAAAACATAGTATCAAAATCTGGAAACAGATTTTTAAAATAGGTCTATACTTTAAGGCACTAATTTTAACAGTGACTTTTGAAAAATCCTGTATGTCCAATCCAGAATGAAGCAGTCAATCTACACAGTGTAATTTTTCTTTTCTTCCTGTCAGCAATTTCTTGATCTCCTGGCAGGAGACGAAGAAGAGCATGCGGTTTTACTATGTAATTATTTTCTCTCCCTGGGTAAAAAGGCCTGGCTGGTGATGGGCAGTGCTATTCCTGAGGTAAGACCACACAGGCTGGCTCCTACAGAGGAGTGGAGTTGTCTAACATGGCTGTTATGTTCCAGAAAATGAACAGTACTAATTTGCATAGCGATCCTTCGAGTTGCAAGGCAAGTGGCCCAGAGATTCCATTATGGGCAGAGAGAACCAGTGATTAGACATGAAATCGTTTTTTCAGTGGCACTTGGACTCTGATCGGTGCTTCAGATCAGGGGCTTTTTTTCGGCAAATCTGAACCGTTGACCACTCAAAGGCCCCACCTGACTCTGTCCTTGTAGTACGAGCCCACACCTGCCCATGTTGCTAAGAATTCTGATTCCCTTAGTGATCTAGTGTTAGATCACTAGTGGCAAGGTGAGAGATCTCCCTTCTCATGCCCACTGCTTCCTCAGGCACCTGCTACTAAGCAGCAGGTACAGCAGAACAGAGCAGACAACCTCAGCAGCAAAGAAAAGAATGTAAGCAGCTATCTTTTGATATCATTATTATTCATCTTATTAGACTGGAGACAGCAAACGATTAGAATTTGTTTCCCCAGCCCACAGCAAATATCCCTCAATTTGGGGCGCGTTTGGGGTAGTTGGGGGTACGAGTTTAGAAAATTCACGTGAATTGAAGCAGTGTATCCAAAGAGTGTATCGAAAAGAGGCCACAGGGCTCTAGGACTCCTCGGGAATTAAGTAGCACGAGTTGCCACTAGGCAGGTAGGATCACATCCGAAAAACGGATGCATTCTCCACCGTCATCTTCCAGAGAGCCTGGTAAAAGAAAGAGAACACTAGGCTAGGAAGTCACAAGACCCGAGTTCCAGGCTCTGCCTATTCCTCATGAGCTGTGTGGCTCTAAGCGAGTCAGTTCACAACTCTGAGCTTTTAAGGAAACTAGGATAATTTTTACCCTGCCTTCCCCAGAAGGCTGTTGTAAGCAGCAAAGCAAATCCATACAGGAGAGGTAAATGAATAAATGTTCGCTATTGGAATTAAAAAAAAAAAAAAAATCCAGTAAGACTCAAGTATTCTGAGTAAAAAGTTAAAGTACTTCTTCAGACTCAACCCCCAAACCCACCCACCCCCACCCCCTAGGTGTGTTCACTGTTAACAGTTTGGTATGTTTTTCAAAACATCTTCCATGCATTTACATAATTATAAAAGTGTATCAAGTACTAGTTAATGTAGTACTCAGGCATAATTGTTTGCCTTCTCAATACTTAATCAGTTATCCCTGTTTGGTCTATTACAAGGCAGTAGCAGATACGTGCATTTTGCAAAAAGGAACATTTGATTTTATTTCTTAAATCCAGTGCAACCTAGAACTTCAAACTAGTTTCCACCATTAGCCATTAATTTTAGAAATTAGGGGTCCAACTAAAATAACGAATTGTGTGTGCAAACTAATCTTGACTTCAATTGCATAATTAGTTGGAAGTTGTTTTAATGACTATTTTCCTTCAGGGTCCAACTGCCTATGTTCTAACTCGGGAGCAAAGTCACTATTTAATATGGAATCCTTGCAGTGGACATTTTTATGGACAATTCGATACATTCTGTCCCTTAAAAAGTGTGGGCTGTTTAATAGGTCCCGATAATGTAAGTATTACCATTGGATGGCTTTTTTTTAATTGACCTGATTTACTATTTTATGTATCAAAAAAAATGTATATAATCATATACATATACCAGTTAAATGTAGTATCAAGCACAGTGGCAACAATAATAACTTTTAGTTGAATTAGTCGCCTGATCAGCTGAGAAGAATGAGGATAAGGAAAATATATAGAACTTAGATGCAGAGGACCTGAGTTTGTGTCCTGGCTCTGTCCTCAGTGTGTTTTGAGAGCTAAGTGAGGCAAATCTACCACCTGGGAAAACTGGGTCCCTCCCTTCCATCCTTCTTCCTTTTTCTTCCCCCGCCCCTTTCCTCCTTCCCTTCCCCTTTTAAAGACAGATTCCCAGGACCACCAGGTGATTCTGGTTACACCCAGTTTTGGAAGCACACTTAATTACGAAGGGTACTGTAGAAGACTGGTTAAAAACAGGAGTTACGAGGTCCGAGTACCGGAGTTTAAACTTCAGTGTCATCACTTACTAGCTGTGTGAGCTTGGGAAAGTTTCTTATGTCATACAGCCTCAGCTCCTTCACTGGAGGTAACAATGGTAGCAATTATGTTGTAGAGTGTTGTAAGCTGCAGACGAGATGATCAATGCAAAGCAGCTAACAAACAGGGATAACTCTTTACTAACTGCTGTCATTCTTTTTATCATCATTCTCTACCTTAGTGGTCTCTGAACTTTAGGCATCTGTCAGAAAAATCATTTGAGCATGCATCCCCAATGTGTATTTTGTACTGAAGTACCATTAACATAGTGTTATATTAGCTTCCCGTGTACAATACGATGATTCAATAATTTTATAGATTACTCAGTACTCACCTTAAGAAATGTGCTCTTGATTGCCTTTATCTATTTCACCCATTCCCCCAACCCACCTCCCTCCAGCAACCACCAGTTAGTTCTCTGTGTTTAAGAGTCTGGGTTTTTTTGTTTTGTTTTGGTTTGTCTTTTTGACTTACCTTAAATTCCACATACGCTTAAAGTCATATGTTATTTTTCTCTGTTTGACTTATCTCACTTAGCATTATACCCTCTAGGTCCATCCAATTATCACAAATGACAAGATCTCATTCTTTTCTATGGCTCAGTAATATTCCATTGTATATATATGTACCATATCTTCTTTATCCATTCAGTCTATCAGTGGACACTTGGGTTCTTTCCTTATCTTGGCTATTGTAAATAGTGCTACAATAAATAAAAGAGGTGAATATATCTTTTCAAATTGTTTTCGTTTTCTTTGGGGAAATACCCAGTACTGGAATTACCGGATCATACGGTAATTCCTTTTCCTCCACATCCTTGTCAACACTTGTTCTTTCTTGTCTTTTTGGTTTAGTCATTCTGACAGGGGTAAGGTGATATCCGTGTTTCGCTTTTTTTTTTTTTAATGTTCAAATAGCGTTTCATGAAACACAAATGTACTATATTTATAGAAGATATTTTTTTACTTTAGAAACATTTTTATTATTTCAAGTATTTAGTTAGTTAACATACAGTGTGATATTAGTTTCTTGTGTACAATATAGTGATTCAACACTTCCATACACCACCTTGTGTTCATCACAAGTGCACTCCTTAATGCCTATCACCTGTTTCACCCATCCCCCACCTACCTACCCTCTGGTAGTCATCAGTTTGTTCTCTACAATTAAGAATTTGTCTCTCGATCTGTCTCTTATTTTTTTCCCTTTGCTTGTTTTGTTTCTTAAACCCCACATATGAGTGAAACCATGTGGTATTTGTCTTTCTCTGACCATATATACTCTCTAGCTCCACTCATGTCATAGCAAATGGCAAGGTTTATGGCTGAGTAATATTCTATTGTACATATATAGTTCTTTATCCATTCATCTATTGATGGACACTTGGGCTGCTTCCATAATTTGGCTATTGTAAATAATGCTATAATAAACTTAGGGGTACATATATCTTTTTGAATTAGTGTTTTCATATTCTTTGGGTTAATACCCTGTAGTGGAATTACTGGATATGGCAGTTCTTTTTAATTTCTTGAGAAGTCTCCATACAGTCATACAGTGGTTGCACCACTTTGCCTTCCCACCAAGAGTGCACAAGGATTCCTTTTGCTCCACATCTTTGTCAACACTTGTTTCTTAGATTTTTGATTTGAGTCATTCTGACAGGTGTGAGGTGCTATCTCATCGTGATTTTGATTTGCATTTCCCTGATGACTAGTGATACTGGAAGTCTTTCCAAATGTTTGTTGGCCATCTGTATGTCTTCTTTGGAAAAATGTTCATGTCTTCTGTCCATTTTTTTAATTGGATTACTTGGGGTTTTGTTTTGTTTTCTGGTGTTGAGTCATGTAAGTTCTTTATGTATTTTGGATACTTACCCTTTATCGGATATGTCATTTGCAAATATCTTCTCTCATTCTATAGGTTGTCCTTTAGTTTTGTTGTTTCCTATGCTGCACAGGTTTTTTTTGTTTGTTTGTTTGTTTGTTTGATGTAGTCTCAGTATTTTATTTTTGCCTTTGTTTCCCTTCTCTCAGGAGACATATCTAGAAAAATGTGGCTACAGCCAGTATCAGAGAAATTACTACTGGTTCTCTCTTCTAGGATTCTTGTGGTTTCAGGTCTCATATTTAGACCTGTAACCTATTTTGAGTTTTTTTTTCTGTGAGTGTGGTGTAAGAAAGTGGGCCAGTTCATTCTTTTGCATGTCTTCCCAACACCATTTGTTTTTCCCCTTGCATATTCTTGCCTCCTTTTAGAAGATTGACTATATAAGCATGGGTTTATTTCTGGGCTCTCTATTCTGTTCTATGATCTATGTGTCCATTTTTGTGCCAATACCATACTGCTTTACTACAACTTTGTAGTATTTCTTGATATCTGGGATTGTGATACCTCCAGTTTTGTTCTTCTTTTTCAAGATTGCTTTGTCTATTCGGGGTCTTTTGTGGTCCCATACAAATTTGGGATTTGTTCTAGTTCTATGAAAAATGCTTTGGTATTTTGATAGGTATTGCATTAAATCTGTAGATTGCTTTGGCTAGTATGAACATTTTAACAATATTTGTTCTTCCCTCTATGACGAGGGAATATTTTTCCATTTGTTTGTGTCAATTTCTTTTGTCAATGCTTAATAGTTTTCAGAGTACAGGTCTTTCACCTCCTTAGTGAAGTTTATTCCTACATATTTTATTATTTTTAGCACAATTGTAAATAGGATTATTAATTTCTTTCTGCTATTTCATTATTAGTGTATAGAACTGTAACAGATTTCTTTGTATTAATTTTCTATTCTGCAACTTTACTGAATTCATTTATCAGTTCTAGGAGTTTTTGGTAGAATCTTTAGGGTTTTCTTTATATAGTATTATGTCATCTGCAAATAGCAAAAGTTTTATTTCTTCCTTACCAATTTGGATGCCTTTTCTTTTTGTCTGATCGCTATGGCTAGGACTTCCAGTACTATGTTGAATAAAAGTGGTGAAAGTGAACATCTTTGCCTTATTCCTGATGTTAGAAGAAAAGCTCTGTTTTTCACCATTGAGTATCATGTGGGTTGTGGGTTTTTCATATATGGCCTTTATTATGTTGAGGCATGTTCCCTCTAAATCTTTGTTGAGAGTTTTTATCATGAATGGATGTTGTACTTTGCCAAATGCTTTTTTTCATCTGTTGAGATGATCGTATGGTTTTTATCCTTTTTCTTGTTAATGTGATTTATTATGTTGATTAATTTGTGAATATTGAGCCACCCTTGAATCCTTAGAATAAATCCCACCTGATCGTGGTGAATGACTTTTTAAATATATTTTTTATTTGGTTTGAGGATATTTTGTTGAGGATTTTTTGCATCTATGTTCATCAGAGATACTGGCCTGTAGTTTTCTCTTTTTGTGGTGTTTTTGTCTGATTTTGGTGTCAGGGTAATGCTGGCCTTGTAGAATGAATTTGGAAGCTTTCTTTCCTCTTCTATTTTTTGGAATAGTTTGAAAAGAGTAGGTATTAACTCTTCTTTAAATGTTTGGTAGAATTCACCTGTGAAGCCATCTGGTCCTAAACTTTTGTTAGTTTTTTGACTACTAATTCAATTTCATTGCTAGTAATTGGTATGTTCAAATTTTGTATTTCTTCCTGATTTAGTTTTAAGTTACATATTTCTAGAAATTTATCCATTTCTTCTCCATTTCTTCTAAGTTGTCCAGTTTGTTGGTATATAATTTTTCATAATATTCTCTTAAAATAATTTCTCTGGTCAGTTGTTCTTTCTCTTCCTTCATTTCTGATTTTGAGTCTTTTTTTTTCCCCCTTGATGGGTCTGTCTGGCTAAAGGTTTATCAATTGTTTGTTTACCTTTTCAAAGAACCACCTCCTGGTTTCTTTTTTCTTTTTTTTTTTTTTTATCTTTTTCACTTATTTCTGCTCTGATCTTTATTATTTCCTTCCTTCTACTGGCTTTGGACTTTTTTGTTCTTCTCCTTCTAGCTTCTTTAGAAGCTAGCATAAAAATAACATACCATGGGGAAGCATGCTCAAATGATTTTTTGACAGATGCGTGAAGACTGAAAGGAAGGGATGGAAAAATATTTACCACACAAATGGAAATTAAAATAAGCTGGGGTAGTAGTATTTATATTGGACAAAATAGACTTTAAAGACTATAACAAGAGACAAAGAATGCTATATAATAATAAAGGGAATAGTCTAAGAAGAGGATATAACAGTTGTAAATATCTATGCAACCAAGATAGGAGCACCTTAACACATAAAGCAACTATTAACAGACATAAGGGGAAAAAAATTGACAGTAATACAATAATGGTAGGGGACTTTAACACCCCACTTATATCAATGGATAGATTATCCAGGCAGAAAATCAGCAAGGAAACAGTGGCTTTGAATGACACGTTAAACCAGGTGGACCTAACATATATACAGAGCATTCCATCCAAAAACAACAGGATACACATTCTTTTTAGGTACACATGGAACTTTCTCCAGGATAGATGTGTTAGGCCACAAAACAAGTCTAAATGAATTCAAAAAGACTGAGATCATATGATGCATTTTTTCCTGACCACAGTGGTTATTATGCAATTAGAAATCAATCACAAGAAAAAAAAATCTGGAAAAAACACAAATACATAGAGACTAAATAAAATGTTACTAAACAAAGAATGGTTGAACCATGACATCAAAGAAGAAATTAAAGGGGCAGCTGGGTGGCTCAGTTGGTTAAGTGTCCGACTTCAGCTCAGGTCATGATCTCACAGTTCGTGAGTTCAAGCCCCATGATGGGCTCTGAGCCCATCATGTCAGCTGTGCTGACAGCTCAGAGCCTGGAACCTGCTTCAGAATCTGACTCCCTCTCTCTTTGCCCCTCCCCCACTCATGCTCTGTCTCAAAAAATACACACTAAAAATATTTTTTTAAAGGAAATTAAAAAATACATGGAGACATATGAAAATGACAAACAAAATCTTTGGGATGCAGTAAGAGCTATTCTAAGAGGCAAGTTTATAGCAATACAGGCCTACCTCAAGAAACAAGAAGCTCCATTACATTCACAGTACTATGATTTTTACAAATTGAGGGTTTGTGGCAACTCTCTGCCAGGCAAGTCAGTCAGTGCCATTTTCCAACAGCATTTGCTCGCTTTGTGTCTCTGTATCATGTTTTGGTAATTCTTGCGATATTTCAAACTTTTTCATTATTATTATATTTGTTATGATGATCTGTGATCAATGATTATAATTTGCTGAAAGCCTAGATGATGGTTAGCATTTTTTAGCAATATTTTTAATTAAGATATATACATTGTTTCTTTAGGCATGATGCTATTGCACACTTAATAGACTACAGTATAGTGTAAACATAACACGCATATGCACTGGGAAACGAAAATACTCATTTGACTTACTTTATTGTGATATTCACTTTATCACAGTGGTCTGGAGCCAGACCCACAATATCTCAGAGGTGTGCTTGTACCATTGCGCCTCTTTCCTTTGCTTCCAAAATGATTCAATTACTAATTATATCCCCTGCTTCTACATTCTCAGTACATTCAGACTTTAACCCTTTTAATAATCTAGCTCCTCTTCCCCTGACTCTGAGAAGCACCATTGTTTTGCTAATGGATAAATAAATCCAATGGTTTATTCTCATTCCTCATTCTCCTCTCCTTTTCTATGGCACATGACATGACTAATACCCTTTTCATGAAAAGAACACTTCCCCCTCCTTGGTTTACAGATAAAGGACTGTTTGGTTTTCATTTTCTCTGCAAGTTTCTTAGTTTTCTTTCACTGGCTCTTCTTACCCCTTAAAAGTAAATGTTCCTGAAGATTCTATATTTAGATTTCTTACAGTACCATACTTATCATTATTAATTGTAGCTCTATCTAGGTTACCCTGGCAGAGAAGTTATAATCCTGTCACTAGCCCCAAAATCTTTGGATCCTGAATTTTCAACTGACTCCCAGACTCCTAACTGCTTTATCAAAATCTCAAACTTGGCACACACACCCAAAACTCCAATCTTTTCCCCCTTGTCTCCAAAACCAGCTCCTCCTCCTGGCTTCCCATTTCTATGGATGTCAATTACCCAGATTCACACTGCAGAATGGTCCTCGATTTTCTCTCTCCCTTACTTCCTCCTATTTCAATCCTATTAACAGATACCAAGTCATATAGGTTCTACCTGTTCTGTTTCCCAGGCCATGCCATTATTGCTTCACCCTGCATTACTATAAATAAATAATCTCTCCAATTCAATCCATTATTTGATACACTAATACCTGACTAAGTTTCTGAACATTCAGCTTCATCATTCTATGGCTTAAAAAGTACTTATCGGAAGTACCTCATTACATACAGATTTAAGAATAAAATGTTCTCCTTGTATTTCAAAGTCCTATATAATCTGACTTCAACTTTTCCAACACTATTTCCCACTACCCTTCTGCACATTCCCTACTCAACAGCCAAACTGTAATTATTAAAGACCCTGCCTTCTTAAAACAATTTCTTGAATTCCAAGTATCAAAGCCTCCTACATCACAGACTGCCACTTCTAGCCTTTCCTGTGTTTTTTTTTTAATTTCTCCAAATTTGAAAAAGCAGAAGCTCAAAGCAAGTTCGTCAAACATCTTTGCTATCTATACTTTCTCCCTAGGAACATATATATGCTAATGATCTCTAAATGTATCTCTAGCTCACCTAGCTCCCAGAACTTCAGACTGAAATATCCAACTGTCTCTTCAACATCTTCATATAGATGTCAGATATCTCAAACTTGATGTGCCCAAACTTGAACTCCAATTTCCTTTTGCAGTCTGACTTCAATAAATAGCAATTCCTTTGGTGCAGTTACTTAGGCCAAAATCCTTGGAGTCACCTTTGGTTCCTCTTTCTCCCACAACCAATTCATTAGCAAATCCTACTGGCTTCATAGTATATCCAGAGTCTGACCATAGCTCACCAATTTCACTGCTTCTATATTGGTCCACACTACTGTAGCTCTTACCTGGATTATTCGAAATAGCTTCCTAATGGGAAACTTCACTACTTGCCCTTATCCCCTTCAGTATAGTCTCAAAGCAACAGAGAATATTAGTGTTAGAATGGAAGGCAGACTATGTCACCCCCTCTGCTTAAAATACTCCAATGGCTTCCTTGGTCACTCTAAAAGCAAATACCTAAACCTTTAAACTAATCCACAAGGCTTCCTATGACTTGGCTGGCATCCCATCCCACCAGCTTCCGTCCTCCACAGATCTCATCTCTTACTTGCTCTAGCTTGCTCACTCTTCCAAAGCTACCATCTTCCTTGCTGTTCCTCAACACATCAATCAGGTTTTGCATTTGCTATTTCCTCTGCATAGATGACCTTCCCCCTTACTGGATATCATCATAATACTGTCCCTCAATTCTTGCATTTCTGATCACATGTCATCTTTCCAGTGAGAATTTCCCTGCCCACCCTGAAACTCCACATCTCTTCCCGTGTCGTTTTCTCCACAGCCTTTGCACGGTTAGCTGTTGCCACAGTAAAAATAGTAAAAGCCCATCCCCAAACTAAATGGCTTCAGATAGCTATTCTCATGGATCTGTGGGTCAGCTGGGACAGCTGTGCTTCATGTGTGTTTATTCTGGGACTCGGCAGTGACAATGACAGAAGCACAAGAAGGCAAGCAGGAACACACGGAACCCCTTAAGCTTAGATTCAGAAGTTACACAAGGGCACTTCTGTCCCATTCTGCTGGCCAGAAGTCAAGGAGCAGGAACATCTCAACAACCCTTTCAGTAGGAGGAGATGCAGACAAAGTAACATGGCAAAGAGTGTGAGTATAGGACGGGATGAAGAACTGAGGTCAATGAAACAAGCTGCTACATCATGTAACATCATCTGACAATCCCATATGTTTACTTATTTGTTCACACTATGTTCTCACTAGCTACTGCAAAAAGGTAGAAACTCCGATTCATTCACTACTTTGTTCCGAGTGACTAAAACTGAGCCTACACATGTAAGATACTTGATAAATATGTTGAATGGACAAATTTACCACTCATGCAGTCATTCAATATGCCTACTATATACCAGAAGCTATGCTATATGCTAAAGATAGTGAATAAAGCACATGGCAACTGTCCTTAAGACAACAAGGTAGTATCTAGTGAGGAGGCAGGTGTAGGCCATTATTAACAATGATACACACTAATAATAAAAAATTAGCAAACAATTATTGAGCACCTATGTAACAGGCATTGTTCTAAGAGGTATAGATAAATTAATTTAATCTCCTCAACAATTTTACGAGGTGGGTACTATTACCCAGTTTTATAAAGGAGGAAAGAGAGGTACACAGAACTTAAATAAATCATCCAAGGTCGCACAGTTAGTAAATGTTGGCACCAGAATTCAAATCCAAATGGCCTGGTTCAGAACCAATATGCTGCATAACTCAACAAGACAGGTGCTAGTCAGAGATGCTGTGGAAGCAAAAAGGTACACACCTAACTCAATTAGGAGGCTAGAAAAGCCAACCTCTCCTAAAAAGTTTAAATTTTCTTATCAGGAACTATCTTATTTTATCAACCTACAATCAACGTAAGGCGCACCTCAAGTTCAGATATGAAAAAATGTGAAAAAATGGCCAATGACAATTTTATGTCTGATTATAAAATGCACGCTGGTTTTACAAATCAAAATGTGCAAAAAATGTGTGTGTTCTCTTGCTGTCGGCTTCCTCTTTACACATGCGCACACACACTCACACACGTATGTACTTCCGCTGCCATATATGCTAAGTCAGTCTTGTCTTTTTTAGATTTGGTTTAATATTCAACGACATGACTCTCCACTACGGATAAATTTTGATGTCACCAAGCCCAAGCTATGGAAGTCTTTCTTTTCAAGAAGTCTTCTATATCCTGGCCTTTCCAGTGTTCAGGTATAATTCTTCTGTTAACAATGTAGACTAAGAAAAGTGGGGGATTTTAAATCATTATACTGGGTAGCCAGGTATTTTTTGACGTTTAGTTCTATTTCTAGATATTCAGTTAAAAATAATGTTTCTCAAACTTATTTCAGCCCACTCACAATAAGAAATTACCACCATTATCGTGAACCAGTATATACAAATGTGGAAAAACAAATTTTGATATAATGAGCCTCAGGCCATTAAAGTACCACAAAATATATTCTACTTAATTTTTTAAATGCTGGACTCATTTCACTAAATTAATCATCAGATTTCATGACTGCTATTAAAACATGAAGTCATACCACAGGGCATGAGCCACTAGAGGCTCGTAAAGTTAATTTAGAGGGTCCTGGCTGTAGTAAGATTGTTACGTAGTAAGCATGAAAATTGTTTACTAATACTTTTGTTAGCTACATGTTTATATGTGTGTGTGTATACTGAGTGTGCAGTATAAAATCTTTTTACTGTGATCCAGACCTTTCCAAAAAGTTTAAAAAACAGTGCTCTAGAAAAATTCTTCCATGTGTACAAGGTGACATATACAAGACTGTTTTCATAGAAAGATTCTAGCCTAAAAACTGGAGTTAGATGAGATAAAATACATATAGTACATAATGGACTCTTTTTTAAATTTTTTAACGTTTATTTATTTTTGAGAGAGACAGAGCACGAACGGGGGAGGGGCAGAGAGAGAGGGAGATACAGAACCGGAAGCAGGCTCCAGGCTCCGAGCCATCAGCCCAGAGCCCGCCGTGGGGCTCGAACTCACGGAACGTAAGATCATGACCTGAGGTGAAGTCGGACGCTTAACCGACTGAGCCACCCAGGCGCCCCCATAATGGAATCTTTTATAGTAGTTACACGAATGAATCAATGTCAATAAATCTTATTAGCACTCTAAAAATATGTATGTTATTATCTCTAAAGGTAATGTTAAGGGAGGAAAGGCAAGCTGCATATTCACAGTATAAAATATTGCATAAATAGACTTGTCCAATCACTATGTTGTACACCTAAAACTCATGAACATTGTGTGTCAACTATACTTTAAAAAAAAAAAAAAAAAAAAAAAAAAAAAAAAAAAAAAAAAAAAACTATTACATAAAGTTTAGAAAATACCCAAACAAAAACAACACATTGTTTAGGGATACATAGATCTGTGATAAAATCATAAATACATTTTATTAACTTGCCTGTTTCTACCAGGTGTGATGTAAACACCAGGAGAGCAGGGATTTTTATTCATGGCTATATACCCATCACCTGAAAAAAATGCCTGGCTCACAGTAGTTGTATGTTGAACCAAAGTGCTAAAAAACAAATTCAGGTCCTGGTTACCTCTGTGATGAGAAAGGAGATGAAAATGAGAAAGAACCAAACCGCCATAATTTATTTGTGATATTGTACTTCAGGTGGGTCATGGGTACATTGGCATCCATTATAATGTATCTGAAAGTCTGAGATTTTGTAACTTTTTAAAAAAGATTTAGAAAAGGATGTATAGCTATTCAAATTCAAGTTAAGTGTTTTTCCGGAATTTCTGAACTATTTCCTCTTTTACAGCCAGAAGAACTAATTTACCAGCGCACAGACAAAGCGGCTGCAGCTGAGCTACAAGACAGGTCATACAATACCCATAAATCCACATGCAATCTGTCACTAGGAGTGCAATCCCAAACTAAACAATTCTCAGCCTGGATCCATAATCTGAGCAGTTAAACTTTGGTTCATATTTAGAGACAGATACCAAATACAGATGTGATCTCTAAATGCCACAGCCCAAAGGGCGGATGGAACAAACAGAAGTGAGCTCCAGCAATGACAGGTAGTTTTCCAAAACTTTACCTCAGATTAGAGTTCAGCATCATGTTGTTATGGTTCCTGTTCAGACATGTCATAATCCTCAACTTAAAATATGCCTCTTTTGTCCAATAGTGGCTTACTGAACTGCAGCTAGTTTATAAACCGAACACATGGGGAAGTCTGGTCTCTATGAGATTTAATGATATTAACTCCCCATAATCCTCATAACCCTGTAAAACAAAACTTACTCTTCCAGTTTTGCAAATGTGGAAACCGAGGTTCAGAGAGGTCAGCATACTTGTTAAGTGTTAGAGGGGGCTTCTGTGCCCAGCCAGGTCTTTCTGATTTCAAAGCCTGTGTGCTCTTTCTACTGTATCAAGCTGTGTAAAGAGCAGCATGTCAAACACACAAGAATAACTGTGACCCTTTTTAAGTTATTACGACTAGAAGACACCAATTTATTCTCAATTTCAAATCTATATAAAGCCTTACTGGAGACCCCCACCTAGAGCAACTAACTCCCCCCAAAAGTCTTTTTTGTTTCTTCTGATGGTTTCAGGATACTGTATTAATTAGACCCACATCATTTATTCTTCCAATACTGATGAAGTGTGTGGCAATTCACCCA